GCTCTGCGTACAACGAGAAGTCCAGACCTCGGGCAGGGGCCAGTGACCTCCTGGAACCCAGACTCGAGCCTTTCCAAGCAAGCCGTGGTTGGCTTCTGATTCACATGATGAGCTGGGTTTGTCATGCTCGGATGGTTATTCTGATATTATGCAAACGCAGCATGTGAGCAAGGCGCAGCAGGGATTGGTTTGCCTTTGGTTTGGGAAGGGTCGCGCGTTGCTGACGCGCACCGAAACCTTTTCATGCTCGAGGCAGTTGCGTACTGCGCAATGCGTATACTGGGCGGAAAGCGGGGTCAGAATTTCGAGCTGGCCCTAGACCACGGAAAGCCAGATATCTATGAATGTTGCAGCCGGTTGGAGTATAGGCTTCCGTGCGGGACGAGAAATGGCAGTGCGAGAAAAGACTCGGTGTTTCTGGGAGTTCAGAAAAATGTACATACATACACGTCTTTTTTTAAATAACAGGGTGAATTCGGCCGTGTGCCCTCCTGCCCCCCTCACAGTGTAACTGATGACGTCAAACCCTAAAGCTTGGGGTGATCAAGATGAGCGCGCGTGAGTACTAATTTTGTGCCACAAGTATCAAACATCACCAGTGTTTTGGCTGCGTAAACTCATTCCGCTTACTAAAAGTAGGTGTCGGGATAGTTTGTATACTAAAGCGGTGGTAGCAGCATCAGTGCTCTAATAAAGGAACATGCTTCTCCGCTGACTCAAAGTACATGTCGCTCTTGTTCGCAATCTATAGAGGTCGACGGCCCCGGCATCACCAGTCTTTTGCTACCGGAAAAGGTTTTCCGCTTGCTAAACTAGATGTCGCGATAGTTCGTTAGCTAAAGTGTCGGCGCCCCCAGCATCACGAGTGCTTTAGCAAAAGAAACGCTTTTCTGCTTTCCAAAGTGTAGAAGTTGCGGTTTCCAAAATTCGACTTTGAGATTCGCCCAGCGGCATCAAATTCTTCCCACATCAAAGTACAAAATCGCACTTTTCGGTCTTTGTTGGCTAAACGACGTATTGTAATGGACATCGCGATTGAAGTTTTGACCTTTGCCATTTTGTTTCAGCGAAGTTGGTCGATGTGGGGAAGAAAAGTATACAGACACGCAGGCAGACAGGCAGACTGGCAGACAGGCAGACAGACCGGCAGACAGACCGGCAGGCAGGCAGGTGTTCGACCCCCCCGTGCCATCAAGCTAAGGCCACCAATACGTTCAGCAAAGCCTGCCATGTGCAGGCTGGGTGTTGCACGGCCGACATTTTCTGCCATGGTCGGGAAACTGAAATTAGGGGGCGTTTGATATTCCAGGAAGTTGATTTGATGAGGGGTTCGCATGCTTGCCGCTGGGCCAAGTCCCTGAAACAGCGCTTTGCTGGGAAGACGGACAGGCCACACCCTCAGGTAGGGCCATACTGAGGGACGCTTTTGTGACAATCCACGTGGTTCCTGCTATTTTGACACAGCTTGACCAAAGAAAGCTGTAAATCAGGGGTCCCTATCTTTCCCCATTTTGGCGATTTTGAACAGCACTTTTTTGGTCCATGATGTTTTAAGGGGAAATATAGGGAGCCCTGCAAATGTTCTTCAAACTCACAAGGCCTGGTTTGTGGACTGACACTGGCCCACAAAGCGCACATGCTTGGCGAAGCCTCCAATGAGTTCTTGAAAGCCGATGTTGGTCGTATTTGCTCCTCATGACACAACCGAGGCATGTGAAGAATCATCGACAGGTTCATGCGCCTCCACCCTCTACTGATGTTTTGGTTGCATGCGGCCAGTTTTATGAAGTGGCCGCTCTTTAGGTATGTTAGGCCCAGGGAGATCCAACAAGTCCAGCGTGTGTCTTCAGCTTCTAGCAATAAGAGCCGTGTTCAAGCAAGCTTGTTCTTACTGAGTGCTGCAATCCTCTCGTGCCACATCAATGCTTTCAGTGATGCCAGCTTTCAGCCATCTTCGTTGATGGGACTGATTGCTATGCGTTGTCTGCACAACCAACCCGTCCAGACTGTTGGTTGTACCACACACAAAACATAGGTGTTTTTTTTGGTAGACGGGCCTTACATTTGGTGGGCCTTTTCACGTTTGCGGCGGGAAGGGGTCCAGTTCTCGGTGGCAGCGGAAGCAGCGGCAGAAATGGCCATGGGTTAAAAGCCAAAGCCAAATCGTAGCCCCAGTGAACATCCGATTCAATCCAACCACTAAAATAGGTTGTCAACCTCAAAATGGTACCAAGACGGTTTTGACCCACAGCCATGTATCAAAGTGCCCCCATGCTTTTTTCGTTTTCGTTTGCTGCAAACGGGACAGCTACGCCGCTACCAGGAAGCAGGGTTCTCTCCTTTGAGCCTCCTATGCCATGCTCACGGCATTGCTCTCAAGGCCCTTCGGTTCTTCGTGGGACCGCTGTGCCCAGAGCAATTTTGCCGATCTAAGTAGGTCTCCTGTACAGTGCCTACTGTCAATATGCCCGCCATGAGAGTGGAAAGGCAGGCTCCGGAGTGAGGGCCACATCCAAAAGCCGCGCCTGGCGCCAGGGGTCAATTGGCGTACTCAACTTGCCTGGGTACCCTCAAGAAAAGACACACACCACACGCACACAAGTGGGTGCCGAACGGCATCTGGCTGGTTCAATATTTGCGCACGCTACCTCCTTGCTGCTTATTTGCTCTCCATGTGCATCGCAGTGTGGAAAGCAACATTTACTGGTTACTATTACATCATCTCCGTAGAGCCGCTTTAAGGTTTGGGCAGAGGTTCGGCAGTCTGATCAAGACATCCGCAAGGAAGGTGAGCCAAGAAATGGACAGGTATCAACTGCGAGCAACCTTCAAGCCATGGCGAAAAGCCGTCAGGCCGTGAATGTCTTGAAGGACTGACGCCGAGTTGGAAGGCCATCATTGCTTGGCCTATGACGCCGGTTGGGTGTCTGTCATTGAAGCCAGAAGCCATGACTTTGACGCGACGGCGTTACAGGGCGTTGTGCGTGAAAAGTCAAGCGTTAGTTTGAAAGAACCTTCGGCTGCGCACGAAAAATCTCTCCCGATCCATCCTTGCTTTCCCGAGGCTGAAAGGGTTTTGGGGATAAGTTTAAGGGGAGCGTGTGAGGCGTGCACCGAGTGTTTTTGCGCGGGCTGCAAGGTGCTGCCGTGCTGTTGAAGGGTGCTTCGGGCAGGTATGCGGAGGCTGCTGTTGGGGAGTGCTTCTATTGGGCGAGATTTGCCCTCCTGCCATCCCCCGTTTCTGTGTTTAGTTTGGTGCTGGAAAGCTCTACTACATGCAGGACAATTTACTGCAATTACTTTCCTGTGGTTGGTTTTGTGTATATATCAAACCACTTGTTGCTATTGGCTTTGCGCCGGAAAGTGGTACCATGCACTTTGAAGGAACCATAAGGATTATGTTTCCTGGGCTTGCGCAAGAGACAAGCTACGGTTTTCAGCAAGGTAATAGAGTTAATTTGACATACAACATTTGCTATCTCTCTTTGGCATGTCACCAGAAATAATCGATACTCTTTGTAACGAGTAGGTTTTGCACCGGAAAAGACGATGAACTTCCATGGTACTGCGCTTTGCATTTGGCATGTCAATGTGTCCTTTCAATTTTGCTCGCCGCTGAAGTGTGAAGTGCAGAAATGCCGCGTTGTATTGCAGAGGGCCAGAAATCACGCAGATTTGCTCCGCGGCCAAATCCCGCGGATGCGCTCCGCGGGTGCGGAACGGCCGCAATTCCAGTTGAGAAGGGAATGAGATGTTTGGAGATCAGGCTGCCACGGAATGATGGTTTTCGGGGTTCTGGCGCAGTATGCTGGTGAAGGGTGCACGGTACGGTGATGTGGCGGGCAGGATGTTGGTGCAGGGTGCTGTGGCGGTGGGGTGCCGGATCTTGGCAAAGCGTTGCCTCGTCTGGTCAATGACTGCAATTTCAGGGTTCTGTTTTTTGACCCAAGGTAGACTTAGACCAGTCTCCCTTAAGAAATCAGCCGCCCCTGGGCCCCAGGGTTCAAGTCTATGGGCTCCAAACAAAGCAGCGGCAAGGAGTCCTTGACACATCGCTTCGGCCCGGACTTCAAGGATCTGATCGAGTCAGAGGCCGCGCCCAGACGCGCCTCCGACCCATCCGTTTGGCCAACTTGGAACAGACACGCCGCTCAAAAGACGGCCAGAATGGCTCCTGAGTGAGTGGAACCACAGACAAACACCTGCGTAACCCCCCGCGCTTGAGTTTTGAGCCACACCCACATCAAAGATCAGCAAATTTGGGTATGGCCGGACTTGTTATGGTCTCGGGCCGGCGTGAGCAGTTCCGGTGGTGCCTGCCAAATTCTGATAGCTGAGTTGTGAGGATACTGATGGCGGACGCCAGACTTGATTGAAGCTTCGAAGCGGGCAATTGTATTGAAGGTTCGAAGCGGACCGTAGTCGACGTGGTCGCGCCTAATGGTGATGTCCACAGACCCTGGCAGCCTATTGTGAAGCCGCTTCTGATTTGAAGCTGACTCGTGCATCGCTTTGCTCGATGTTGCGTAGCCGGACATGCAACTCTAAAGGATGAGATGGGCAAACATGGCCTTATGTGAAAAAAAATGCCTAGATGGCTGTGGCTCAAACAATTTTGTACCAACATGGCACCTTGGTAAATGACCAAAGACTAAAACCGCGTAGCCCTGGCTCTTGAATTTTGAGCCACAGCCAGATCGGGTCGTCACCCTGCCAAGTCCCCTGCGGCTTCGCGAGGTCGAGGGCCGAGTACAAGGCCGCAAGTTGGAGCGTGAAGACCTCGACGCCATCGAGCGCGTGATTGCGAACGCCAGGAGGGCGTTTCTGAGCGGGTCATATGTGCGCTTCACCGGCAGTCACTTGCTCCTGTTGTTGAAATTCAAGAGATGGAGAAACAGAGCGCAGTTCATGGAGACTTGAAAGTAGGTCGAAGAGAGCCGCAATTTGTTCCACATGTTGACGGACACATCTAAATGAGTGGGATGTTTCTTGCTGCTTTG